ATTAAATACAATGATTTAATTTTATTCTTCTCGTTTTAAGATACGTTTTCGAGAATTGTTTACGAAAAAAGATAAATCATATATACATCAATTCTGTTTTTCATTAATGCACTATATAGGGAGAAAAGACTTGATGTTCACCGCCCTGGCAATTGCGATGTATTGGCAATACTGATTCATTCTGGTCTCCTCGCGTCTGCTTGCGTTTACAGTGTACCCTTGACGATGACGAATGTTTTCTTTTCGCCCCGCGCGTATTGCAAAATTATTTTACATGCAGCTAAATATCCGCATTGTGCAATAAATGGCCTGCTGCTTGGCAAACAAAAGAACAAGGACGGCAGGGCGGATCTATACATCGAGGATGCGATACCTTTATTCCATATATGCCTACACGTTTCCCCAATGGCGGAAATAGCACTTACTTTGGTAAATATTTGACAGGCATTCGCTGCCGCAGTAAAACATTTCGTAAAATCGTACGTACTGTCGCATCTCTTTAAGTATATATTTTAACACGTGTGTGTTAAAATAGTGTGACATGAATATCAATATTCTAACCTATACAATGACAAAACGTCATAGTAGGTCATCATTGATCATCAAGCATTCCATGTTTTCTTTATTGCAAAATGTTAGCATAATAAGGATAATAATGTCGCCCTATTATATTAATTTAATGTGTTGCAATAGGTGGACCAATTAGCTGCAAGCAAAGGCCTTATACTAGCGGGTTATTACCTGGCCAACGAGAATATAAATGATTTAAGGTATGATAGTTATGTGATATTTCTTTAATAATGTTACTTTTTCTTTGTGTTAAATTATACTAATTCATCACTGTGTTCTTTATATAGTACAGACAGACCAGCCCATAGAATAGCGGATAAAATCGCAGAGAACTTCAACAGTGCACTGTTGGTAGTGGTACGTTTACTAGTTTATTATATCAAAAGATGTGTTTTACATCTATTTCTGTGAACTTTATTGGTTTTTTCAGGTGGATAATCGAGAAGTGACTTTAGGTATGGGCTCGAGTCCATTGAGAATTTCACAATCTGTAGAGGGAAAATGGAAGCCAAAAGATAAGGCAAAGTAATTATATATTTTTAAGATTATTTGGAAAAATTATGACTTTTGAAAGATCAACTTGATAGAGTTCTTTCATCTGGGTATCATATATCATTCTTTTTGTCACAGTATAATTTATGAGGACGATATTGCACACACAGATGCAATGTATTCGTTACTGAAGGCAGAGGAGTATAGGAATCTGATCGATTTTGACAACCATCTCGATAACATCGCTCTTGATTGGCAAAATCAGAAATTAAATAAAATAATCGACGAGGCTGTCGACAAACACACATAGGAGATGACAATGCAACCATTCCACACACAGTTCATACAAAGATTGTTTTATTTATGTTGCACTCTATCTATATTTCATTCACTATATGCGAAGTAAACAAATGTACATACGCTATAGAGTTTATAAATGAATATCACTTGTTTTTAAATATTAGAATTTTATTTTTACCTACAATTACTTACATTTCCCTACAATTTCCATTCTTTAAATAAATCTTGTATTATCTTTTTTAAGAAAAAATTCCTACTTGGATTCAACGGCGGATTTTGTAAGTTTAATATTTACATTGCATTTAAAAAACACAATTATTTTCTATGAATCTAGTATAGTTTTATGTATATTTTCTCTCTCTCTCCCCCCCTATTTTATATATGTACACTCTTTTAAAGAATAATTTTGAAAAATCTTCAAGAGTTCTATAAATCTGATTTAAAAAATTGTGCAAATAAATATTAATTGAATGGGAAAATAATAAGAGAAACTTACGCAGAATGGTTTAAAATCTAAATATACATTGATTTCTACATTTACAATTCTATGACAAACATATTATTTACCGACCGGTTAAGTAGGCAGCTGTTGAAGGAGAGGGAGCTTCAATGTAAATAGTTCCTTAGAACGGTTTAGTTTCACATTTCTCCTTGTCTTCATTCGACTTTCAACTGACAAAGGTGTCTTTACTATCTGTACGTAAGTAAAATATTGTTTTATTGTAATTATTATGACAATTATTAAGATTAGGTTGTTGTGTGAACTTAACCTTAGTTTGGTAACATCTGACGTTCTTAAAGAATTTTAAAGAATGTGATAAACGTTTAAAATATAGATAATCATTCTCTTCAAAGACAGCAAAATAATATTTTAAACATACCATTGGAAAATTGGAGCAAATTATTTGTAGATTATGAATATATTGAAAAATAATAAATAAAAGATATGATCTCATTTGTGTAATTTATATTCATAATTTATATTCATAATTTTTTATCAACATAGTGTGCTATTTTATGATAATATTATGATTGATTATATTTTATGTAAGATTATATAAATATATAATTTATTTTGACCTTTATGGATTTTTTTCTTTTGAATAATTTTTTTCTGTTCATGTAGGTATATATATATTCATATCCTTAAATATTTATATTATATTTTATTGTTAGTAATGTTATATTTTATTGTTAATAGGGTAGAATAATGGAACATCGATGCAATTGTGGTAGTGTACATGATACAGAAATAGGAATCAGTTATAATTTGTTTGAAAAAATAGATAAAGACAGAATGGAATGTCTAAATGAGCATGAGGAAGGCAGTGGTGCTAAAGTTTTCAAAATATGGGAAGAAAGATTAGATAGATCAGAGGTAAGCCTCCTTGAGAAATTTGTTTTACAAATATCAAATATATCTTAACATTTTGTATTAAGATTCTTCTATAATCTTTTCCTTATTTTTCAGTTTGTTCAAAGTGATGTCGATGATGAGCTTCTGTTTAATATACCGTAAATATTATATCCCGACGTAGTTTTATAGAAATGTATCTCAGTCTCTCATTGTATTTGATTTTTTGCAGTTTCACAGGAGATGTAAAATTAAAGGGTCTTATTGTAGTTGCAGATGAAGGTTATTCTCCCAAAACAGTGAAGTTGTGAGTATAATTAAGATTGCTCAAAAATAAGAAAAATTATATAACTATATTAAGACATAAAATATGTTTCAATAAACTTACGTATATTAACAGATATAAAAACCGGCCGCACATGCTATTTGATCATTTAGATAATAGCCCAGAGCAGGAATTTGAATTAATTGCAGATGCATATGGAGTACACGAATATCCTGTAAGGTAATAAATTCAGCTATCTGTTTTATATTTATGTTTTTAGATTTAAGAATTTTTATAGCACGCAACTCTGATCATATACAAATTATTTGTGTGAGATGTTAAAAATTTTCTTATAAAAATTAAGTACCATATAAATATTATTACAGAACGGTCAAGTTTTCCTCAGTGCAGCATTTAAGCCTTTACTTCAGTGGTATGGGAAATACAGAACAAATTAAAATTTATTACATCGGTCTCAAAGGAGAATGGACTCCAGCTCACAAACATGGTGTAACTATTTGTACATATGAAGCACGTCCTCTTATCAGTAACCATCCAACAGATTTTAATGAAGTCGGTAGAATAATTAAATGATATTTGGACTAAAATCTGTTTGTTAAATTCTGGTTTTTTTTAAGCACAGGAAACAGACATTGAGAACATTGTGACTGTAAAATTGTGTACTATATTTTAGTATGGATATTCAGTGTGATTCCATGATTTTGAATAAAAATCCTGTAATAATAAAAAATTTTGGTAACAGCTTTATTTCCATTACACTTATATGTTTGTAGTCTTAATGGAATTATGTTCTATGATAAGATATACATTAAAGACCTTATTTACTTAACAAATATATATTGTACATATTTTCATCACATTACACCATTAGCATTCTTTCTGGCATGGTACAGATTTATCAATTTGAGAATATGAAATAACATTATCTTATGTTTGGAACTTGATCTTTCCTACATCCATTTCCATTTCTGAGAATTGCATATCTAGGTGAAAATCAATTATTTGAAATAATTCCAGTGGTTGTGGTATCCTGCCAGTTTCGAGTTTTGACCAAACAGGAACATCTGAAATATATCGTGATACACATAACGATCAAGTATTTCACTTGATATTTGTATCGATACTGAGATAAATATATTTACCATTGAAATGTATCTCAAATGCACCCGACGAGACCAATAGGCCTTCTATAGCATTGCCAAGCAGGAAAATCAATATACAGGAATAAAAACGATTATTTAAACACCACTGCCATATCGATGTTAGGGGCAAACCAAAATCAGTTCCACTTACAATTAGAACAATCATAAGTATTTTTAATGTGCCCTAAATACAAATTTACATATTTATGAGACATGTACAGAAGTACAGATCATAGAAAGATCAGACAATAAATTCAATTACCAATGCTTTCGCAATTAACATATTATAACCAGGTGGGTTGAAATTCTCGCCTTCGACATGAAGTTCTGGATACTTCTGCTTAAGAATATTTACGTATTGTTCGAAGGCTTTTCTATAGCCGCACGAGTAGCTGCAACAAAGAATGATAATTTTATCTTGATTTAATGATAAGCCAGAGCCCAAACCTCCACGGTCACAGTAAAATCAACACTGCAATATTTAATAATGTCTTTAGATTACTGTGAGAAACCTAACAAATGTTTTTCATTTAAAGTACGTGTACAATTTAACAGCTTATGACCATCCATTATCTTATAGGATGGACACCTCCAATATCCTCCATGAAAATCAACAAAACGATCGTTAATCTTACCAATAAAAGAACCTGAGAGTTGGTCCGGTTTTTGCGCCGAGTTTGGTTAACGGCGCTTCATCGCCGTTCCCATCTATGCTGTGCATCAGCATAACCGCAAAGATACACAGAATTAACCAGCGCATATTTATTTTTATTCTGTTCTTGTCAATTCATTGAAGAATACAACTCTACACATCCACACGACCAAACGCAACTGAACGCGTCGATTACTGCATGATACTCTCTCTCTCACTCTCTTTCTGTCCTTCGCTCTCTAGAGTATCTACGTAGTACATACATACGTAATTGCGTAGAATGATTGTCGAATGCTGAAATTTATCACGAGCTCTCCCTAATTTCACAATTATTGTCATAACACGCTGATATTGTCAAATTAACTGATACTGTTAAATTTCAATGATCGATTGAAAAATGAATTTTCATTGACTGTCAATGACAAAAATATGAATTATCATTCTCATTTCGACATTCTTGCTCGTGCGCATGCTTCGTTCGAGGGTTCGAGGGTGGTGAAACGTCATTGGTTGTCTATTCTCCACGTCAATGATATTGGAGTAAGATATGGCTAGTAGACTACTATTGAAGATTGAAAGATTTAAATTTAACTAATCAAAACAATAAGAACTAAAATTTCTTTAGATCAAATTTCAGTTTTCAATCTTCAATGTGTAGTTTGATTCCGGCCTATCAGAGCCTCCGATTTAAAGAGGATTCCTCGCTCTTTCATTTCTTGTCTTAATGGCCTTCCACCGAAGTTTCCACCGAAGATTTAATCCAGATCAAAATGTAAGAATCAACCAATTACAATCGTTCGACTGTAACAGGGGAATACTCGACTGTAGTTGGTTGGTTTTTACATTCTGATCTGGTCTGGCCACTGCCTCGGACATATAAGATCTCCCAAGGGAATTCGCATATTCGAATAATCTTGTTTTTCATCAGAATGTATTTTAGCGATTTTTCAGAGATCTCGAAAAGCATAAACAGGATCTCGAAGTATTCTCAATTTACTTTCCATTTTTTACTAATTTTAAGGGCCATCATGGCAAAAGAAGTTCAAACAATAAAACCAAGTAAAATATAAGCAATAAACGAATTGACCAATCAGTATAATAAGAGTATAATTAGAGAGAAACTTGAGAGAGAACATGAAAGCGTTTTTCCTGTAACTGCAAAATGCCCCCGCGCACTACTGCCCTCTGAAGAAGTGGATGTCAATTATAAAACAATATTTATTTTTTTACGATGCTCCTAAAATAAATCGCTAAAATAATTAAAATCTATCAAATTAATAGAGACTCAGGTTTCTCTCTACCTGTATTCATAGTCAGAACTTACACTTAAGACTGCTTTAAGTACAGTCTTAAAATGTCATGAACCAATCAGAAAGCCGTACTAGCAACTTAGCACATTATTTAAGATGGTCTCTAAAATAAAAAAAAGACCGACTATGAATATCGACTTTAATGCCTGTTTTATAATATATTGAACGCGATGAGAGATGAGCAATAAGAACTCTGCATCGTGTCACGTGCAAAAAAGCAGAACTTTCACGATACATAGCTGCCTAATATAAAAAATTTATTTGTTAATACCTTTGACATATTTAATTTTAAATATATTGTTAAAATTTAAAAGTGACACAAATATAGGTATGGTAATATTCAAATA